AAATTTGACTTAACCCTCATCTCGATATGATGGGTCACAATTGGTCTGTGGGGGGAATTCGATTGCCGTGACTTACTCGGGCTTCATCTGTGCCATGTTAGTGGTGATGAGCGAGCCCCAGTCYCCTCCCTGCACGTAGAACTGGGAAAAGCCCAGACGCTCCATGAGAGTCAGGAAAACTCGCGAAGCAGCCAGACTGTTAAATCCTTGGAAAGACAAGCAGAGATTCACACAGAGTTTAAATTTAGAATGCATTGCCTGTGTTTGTCTCTGTTAGTAAAATATCTCATGACTTGACAAGTTTTAGTAGTTTTTTTCCAACATGTTCTCGATAACCTTCGTCTAAAACGTGGACTTTAATCCACCTTGTTTGTGAGGGGCTTCTGAGAAGCCGTAGCCGGGGATGGAGGGGATCACGACCTCGAAGGCAACGCCGCTGTGGTTCTGGGTGAGAAGTGGCAGAATCTTGTAGAACTCGTAGAAGGAGCCYGGCCAGCCGTGAACGAGCATGAGAGGCAGGACCTTCTGATCCGCCCGGTGTGGCGGGCRCACATGAAGGAAGTGCACATCCAGCCCTACGCCGTGAGAAAAATCACATTTTTATTTATGTTTTTTCCCAGCGAACACATAAGGTTTAATCGTGGTGAAGCTGTGTACCTTCTATTTTGGTTTTAAAGTGTGGATATTTGTTTAACATTGCCACCTGCTTCTTCCAGTCAAACCCATTCCTCCAGTACGAAACCACTTTCTTCAGGTAAGTGGAATTGAAGCCATACTGGAAGCCGCTTTCTTCCAACGGGTCTGCATAACGGGATTTATCAATGCGCTCATGCAGGTCCTGTTAAATCAGATTAMAAGTATGAAATCAAACATCCTGAGCTTTAGATTCCAGAAAGTTGGCAACCCTAATGAGATCTCCACCTTAATCTCTTCATCTGAGGTTTTCACCGTGAACGGGTAGACTTTCTTATCCTCCGACAGTGACGTCTTCTCTCCTGCCCCCCACCATCCTTCACCGATGGGGATAGTTTTCACCTTGTTCCTTCTCTGTGCTGCATACAACAGTATTCCACCTGCTGCCAGCGCCACAGCCGACCCAATCACCACCTGCTGCTGGACAACATCCAGGCCAAAGAAAGAGTCTCTGTAAGAAAAGACAGAAAATTTAAATCGATGCAATAAAATCCATGACATATATGTTCAAAGTTTCTGGATGATTTAAAAAAAAAAAGACGTCTTACTTCAAAAGCTGCAGCCTCTGCATGGTTGCAGTTCAACACGTTAAAGTCCACAGGTAACTAGTAGTAAAGGTCGAGGGTGGTTAATTTTATGCAGGACAGACAGGAAGTTGAGCGTGTTGTAATCTGACCCATCTGTGCGTCTCATCTTACCTTGTCTGACACGTTTTAAGAGTCCGTGAAGCAGCAGCTTAACTTCCACAAGAAGTTAAAACCAATTTTGTGGGATTATCCGTCTACACGAAGCTGCAGGAAAGGGTGGGAAAATCAATGAAGGCGGGCCTGTGTTTTTGCAGAGGATGCTGGTTGGCTGCGTGATGTGTCAATCTACTGATTGTTTATATGGCTCAGCTATCCCAGCCTTTTTAGTTTCATATTAGTAAAAAGCATATTTGAACAAGGACAAATCTACGTGAATTAACAAGAATTAACAACGACAAAAATAACAAATCCAAGATGWATTTCTCCAGCCCACTTGACTCGGTTCCACCAGCCAAGCCGATGTTGTTGATCGTTTTGTTTTCCCAATTTTCTTTTCTTTACAAAAAATACGAATGTTCTTAACATTTAAGATAAACATTTTCCCGAAAGTCTAGCTGCAGACCGCACAGCAAAATCTCCAGTCCAGAGTCACAAGAAGGAATTTGTCGTTTATCACCAAGCGGAAGTCGTAGTTTTGTTTTGTGTTTCCGCGATTTTTATTTTTTATTTTCCTCCGGTTTGAAAGAATAYGTATGCAGCGGGAGGAGTGATGTTTAAATCACACACTGGGCTTCATTTTCAAACACAAAGAACGTATTTTTGCCTAGTGGTTGACGTTTTGCTGTTTCAAGAGAAAGATCAGCTCTCTGTTCCAACTTCCGGGTTAACGTCAGCGAACTATCATGTATACACTCTTTGAGCATCTTTGTTAACTTGTTTACGTAAGGGTGTTGTCCATCTACGCAGTTCCATCGACACAACGAACGATGTGGAAGATTGTTTTTCTTTTTCTTGCGGCTTCTTTCGCTGTTGGGAATGTTACCTTGGTCGGTGGCTTCCGAAAAGTGGATCCTAAAGATGAAGGTGTTCAAAATGCTTTACGTTTCGCCATTGCTGAGCACAACCGGAGATCAAACGACATGTATTTAAGCAATGCGGCTGAAGTGATCGAGGCTCAGAGCCAGGTTGGTAAATGTTTTAAATGTTTAATATTTTTCTACTCTAGATTCTGAATTWATAATCTATAAGCATAATTTATTTTTGTTTCAAGTGTGTTGAATGAACCGAAGGATTTTACTACAAAGCAAGATTTTCCACTTAACCAGTGTTTTCCCTACCATTATCCAAACAGCCCCCCGCCACCGCCACCACCCTGCTCATATAAATTAAATCAAGGCCAAATGTGGCCCACCATGGCCCGCGAGAGTTTCAAAGATGACTTGAAATAAGTGTATGCTGCTTTAAAGTCAACATTGACCTCAAACTACATCTCCCATAATGCACATCGGTTATTTTCCCTACAGAATGACGACACCCCACCACTAGGTGGCGGTATACAGGGTTCAAATGTGGCCGGAAACTGGCAAAATTTGCTGTGTGAAATGTCTTTTTTGCTGCATTCTCACCACTGCTACTGTTTAAGTGTTTAAAAGAGGGCAAATTAAAAAGTGTTTCTATGCACAAAATGCCAGGTATTGTTTGTTAGCTGTGCTCTCAGCCGTAGCAATAAGTTGAAGAATGTGACATTTTGTGTTTAGACAAATTTAAACAAATATTTCTTCATCACTCCACCTTGAAATTACACGATCTGTCGCCCTTTTTAACTGTATTCCACTCTTCTTTAGTTTTTTAGCATTGCTTTAAAAACTTTGATTTGACTTTGTCTTCCCATGAGGTTTGAATGCATTTGAACATAATCTGAACTTCTCATATTTTTTATTTAAAAGGTGGTTTCAGGCTTGAAGTACACCCTGACGGTGAGAATGGCAAAAACCTCCTGCAGAAAAAGTGCTGCAGATGAATCATGTCCCGTCCACAGTGATCCAGAAAAGGCCAGGGTATTTACTTTCAATTTTTT